CTCCCTTCTGCGGGGCCACGGGACCACCCAGTTTAGCCTGTTCAGGCTCCGGGTTGGGAGCTTGGGGCAGAGGGCATCAGGAGTTTCTCTGTTTTGGTGGCTGGCCTGCAGAGTGGTAGGCCTTTTGTTGGCGAGGTTCCTAGCGAATGGCCTGGTCCTGGTCCTGAAGAGCCTTCTGAGTGGTGAGAGGGATCTTGGCCCGTGGAGGGAGCCAGGAAATGGAGTGAGGGCATTTTGTAAGCGGGGCCCCTGGCCAGCAGGGAAACCTGATCCTGTTTTAAAAGACCCATTAGATAGCATCGATAGGAGGAGATGGGCAGGCACCAAGGCAAGAATTCACCCAACAATCTGAAAAACAACATGAAAACACCAGAACCCAATGATCTTACAACAGAAGGACTTGAACACCCTAGCACAGAAGAAGAGGAAAAAATTGACTTTATGAAAGCAATAGAGTCCCTTAAACAACATGTAAAAAGCTCCCTATATATGTAGAAATGGATGAAAAGTATAACAAAAAGTTTGAAGAAATGAGTAAATACGTAAATGATACCCTGGGAAACCAAGAAAAAAACAATCAAACAGGTAATGGAAACAGTTCAAGAATTGAAAACTGAAATGGAAGCAAGGAAGAAAACACAAACTGAGGACCAGCTGGATATGGAAAATCTAGGTCAATGAGCAGAGACTACAGAAACAAGCAAAATCAACAGAATATAAGAGATAGAAGAAAGAATCTCAGATTCTGAAGACACCATAGAGAAAATAAACGCTCTGATCAAAGAAAACAGCAAAGCCAACAAATTCTCATCACAAAACATTAAGGAAATATGGGACACAATAAAAAGACCAAACCTTAAGGGAGCCACTTTAGGGTTGGCAAGAGACCTGACCCTAGAGGGGCACCCAGGTGCCCAAGCCGAGGTCCCCAGTTAGTTCCTGGGGCAGCTGAGGATAGGGAACCTGAAATGACCCTATCCTAGAGCAATAATGACGAATATCTTGCATATCATCATAGACCCTTCATCTGGTGACGGATGGAGATAGAGACAGAGACCCACACTGGAGCACTGGACTAAGCTCCCAAGGTCCCAAGGAGGAGCAGAAGGAGGGAGAACAGGAGCAAAGAAGTCGGGACCACGAGGGGTGCACCCACCCACTGAGACAGTGGAGCTGATCTATTGGGAGCTCACCAAGGCCAGCTGGACTGTGACTGAAAAAGCATGGGATAAAACTCTGAACATGGCGAACAATGAGGGCTGATGAGACGCAAAGGACAATGGCACGGGGTTTTGATCCTGCTTAATGTGCTGGCTTGGTGGGAGCCTAGCCAGGTTGGATGTTCACCTTCCTAGATATGGACGGAGTGGGGAGGACCTAGGACTTACCACAGGGCAGAAAACCCTGACTGCTCTTTGGACTGGAGAGGGAGGGGGAAAGGAGTGGGGAGAGGGGGAGAAGGGAGGGAGGAGGGGGAGAAGGGTGGGAGGAGGGGGAGAAGGGTGGGAGGAGGGGGAGGGAAATGGGAGGCTGGGAGGAGGTGGAAACTTGTTTTTTTTTCTCCTTTTCTCAATTAAAAAAAAAAAGAAAAAAAAATAAAAAGACCAAACCTAAGAATAATAGGGATAGAAGAAGAAGAATCACAGCTCAAAGGCCCAGAAAATATTTTTAACAAAATTATGGAAGAAAACTTTCCCAACATAAAGAAAGATATTCCTTTGCATATTCAAGAAGCATACAGAACACCAAACAGACTGGATCAAAATAAATCCCCTTGCTATATAATAATCAAAACACAAAATATACAGATTAAAGAAAGAATATTAAGAGCTGCAAAGGAAAAAGGGCAAGTAACTTATAAAGGTAAACCGATCAGACTTACACCTGACTTCTCAATGGAAACCATGAAAGCCAAGAAGGTCCTGAATAGAGGTACTGGAGAAACTAAGAGACCATGGATGCAAACCCAAACTACTATACCCAGCCAAGCTATTGTTCACTATCAATGGAGAAAACAAGACATTCCAGGATAAGAACAAATTTAAACAATACGTAGCCACAAATCCAGCCCTACAGAAAGTAATAGAAGGAAAATCACAACCCAAGGAATCCAACATTGCCAACACTGCCTACAATAACTCAGGCATCTATCGACCCTTCACCAGCACAAAGAAGGGAGACACACAAACTCTACTACCAAAAACAATAAGAATAACCAGAGTAAACAACCAATGGTCATTAATATCACTTAATATTAATGGTCTCAATTCACCTATAAAAAGGCACAGACTAAGATATTGGATATGAAAACAGGATCCAACATTCTGCTCTTTGCAAGAAACACATCTCAACCACAAAGACAGGCATCTACTCAGAGTAAAGGGTTGGGAAAAGGTTTTTCAAGCAAATGGTAGTAAGAAAAAAGCAGGTGTGGCCATACTAATTTCTAACAAAACTGACTTCAAACTAAAATCAATCAGAAGAGATCAAGATGGACACTTTATACTCATAACAGGAACAATTCATCAGGATGAAGTCTCAATCCTGAATATCTACGCCCCTAATATAAAAGCACCCATTTAAGTAAAAGAAATACTACTAAAACTCAAAACAGACATCAAACCATACACACTAGTAGTAGGAGACTTCAACACACCTCTCTCACCAATGGAAAGGTCAATCAGACAGAAACCTAATAGAGAATTAAGAGAATTGTTGGAGGTAATGAAGCAAATGGACTTAACAGACATCTATAGAACACTCCACCCAAATAGGAAAGAATATACTTTCTTCTCTGCAGCTCATGGAACCTTCTCAAAAATTGACCACATACTCGGAAACAAAGGAAACCTCCACAGATACAAAAAAAAAAAAACAGTGTCCACCTGTGTCTTATCAGATCACCACGGAATAAAGTTAGAAGGCAACAACAACGCTACCACCAGAAAGCTTACAAACTCGTGGAAATTGAACAGTCAACTACTGAACCACACCTGGGTCAAGAAAAAAATTAAAGTCTCCCTTGAATTTAATGAAAATAAAGAGTAAAGCTGTTTGGGCAAACAGACAGACTGGGCAACACACTATAACATACCAAAGCTTCTGTGGAGTGATGCTTTGTGGTTACTGCTTTTAATTTTTATTTTTTATTTTTTACAGTTTTACTTTTTGTTTTCTTTTGTGGGGGAGATTGTAAAGGCAGAGGGCATACACAGAGAGATGGGAAGATGAGTGGGATCTCAAAGGCAGAGGACACACATGGAGAGATGGGAAAGATGGGTGGGATCTCAAAGACAGAGGGCATGCATGGAGAGATGGAGAGATGGGTGGGATCGCAGAGGCAGAGGGCATACACAGAGAGATGGGAAGATGGGTGGGATTGCAGAGGGCATACATGGAGAGATGGGAAGATGAGTAGGATTGGGGTGCATGACACAAGATTCACAAAGAATCAATAAAAAGTTTTAAAAATAAAAATTGAGTGATTTGTTGGTGAATAAGAATATTAACAGAATATTAGCAAATACATCCCAGTTCTCCTCACTCCTTAGAAGTGCCAGTGTCCTCTTCAACCCCATTCCCTAGAGGAAACCCTTCACGTCCTAGGCTAAAGTTTTCCCTGCCACTGTCATGTGTCATATGGACATTTCCAGAAATGAACAAGCTTAGGAGCCTAAATCAGGACTGAGTCCCTTCTGATAGAAAACATCACCATCCCTCACTGCTGGGTCTGACTGAAACTTGACTGACAGGGAAAGGCAGTGGGATGGGCCTAGCTCCCACGCTTTGCCACCACGCATATTCGTCCTCTCTACTCCACATGCAACTATAGGGCCATGAGGGAAGCCTTGCTTGATTGGAACCTCTGCGATCTGATATTAGGAACGAGAGGAGCCAAATGTTAGTTCATCAGCACGGCTCCCTCATGGGACTCTAAAGACCATTTAATCTGACTGGGCCCCACACCACCACAGGAAGGTCCTCCTCCAAGTACGATCTGCCAAAATAAATTGTAGACCTCTTTATAGATGATGGCAAGCAGACATCCTTCATCCTCTACTAGAGTTCCAAACCTTTCTTCTTTCTCTGCCTTGGGATGCTCTCACTGCATCTGTCTTTTAGCAAGTGCCCCAGTAGTGTTGCCCTGGCCCCGTAGGCATGATGAGGTGGATAATACTCCTAAGGAGGAGTGAGAGGTTGGTCTTCAAGCCATTGTAAATACTAATTAACCAGACCAAAATATATTCTCCCAGTAATGAGAACAAAAAGATCCTCTAGAGGGCAGAAGTTCCCCATGATTGGGAAGGACCAGTGTAGAGGATCCCAGGGAAGCACTGACCAAAACAATCAATGTTTTTCAAATTCCTTCCTGGAGACACTGGAAGCTGCCTGAGCCATTGGCCAAGAAGCACCACCCTCTCTCTCCTCTTCCCACTCATTCACCTTTCCCAGAATCATCCTATATTTTATTTGTAGGTTGGGGGGGGGGGATGAACAAGAGTGGTGCTCTTGTACAAGGAGTCATTTTCCTTTTATGAAGTGGGTGTGTTTGGATATTTATTGCAAAAGAAAACACATTCATTTTGTGTGTATTGTGAGGGTGTTGACTATTAGGTTCAAGTACATTATAAGTAATTAGAAAGAAATGGATATGGCGTTGAGAAAAATGCATCAACTAAAGAAACATCATAACCTTATGGGTTTCAGTAAAGTTACGTTTTGGGGAAGGAGCGGAAGAGAAAAGGCAGGAGAGAAGATGCAGGTCCTCCTGGAAGGCTGTGATTTCAAATAACTTGTAAGTGCTTGAATGTTGCTGACACCTTCCTGGTTTTGTCTTTGTTGGAATAACAGAGTGCAAGAGCCAATGGCCAGGGAGAAAGAATAGTATGACTTATTTGTATTCATTTTAGTACACATTAGCGACCTTCCAGAAGGTATTTACATGTATAAACAAAATGAAGAAGACAGTAACTCTAAGCCAATAGAGAAAGAACAAGACACACAATTCAATAATACTTTATTGTCAATAGCACAGAAAAAAAGTCACCACTGAACCTTCGGAAGAAAAAAATTATTTACAATAAACGGCAATGAATTGGAAAAGGGGAGGCATATAAGAAAAACCACAGCAAATATTTCCTTCTGGGGGTGAGTTAAAACATTAGGTTGGGTTGCAACATAACTAATTTATCAGAACCATTAATAAACTATGTGTGTAGATTACAAACTGTTATCCAACAGCCAGATTTAAAAAAAAAGAAACATATTCCCACACATGATGAGTACTTAAATAGTTTTGCTTTTGTTTTCTGGAGGTTTGGGATCCCTTCCTTTTCCCACTGCCACATTAGACAAAAAAAGAAAGTTCCTTAAACAGTCACAAACTCTCTTATCATCAAGAGAATCCCTGGAGATCTCAAGACACTGGTGTTGGAGGTGTGAAGAACCCTGTGATCTGGCTAGAAGCCCTGCCAGCAGTCATACCACCCAAATGACCAGATGGGGCAGCTAGGAGAAACAAAAGCCAATTTTTGTAAAAGCTAAGCTTCCCCCTAGGGTCTTAGTCTTCAGCTAAAATGGGCCCAGAACTTTATCCAATACTCCAAAGATCTAGAATGCTCTGCAAAGTGTTTCCATGAGCTGACAACTTATTCATTTTTCAGAAATATTGATCATTTGTGAACTATCCTTATGTACTTGTTTTGTGTGAATAACCTATGCTTTTTAGCAAAAATATTAAAGTATTAATATTCCAGACCCTATTTTTGGAGTTCCATAATATATAGTATTTACAACATGCCATCTTTCTAAAATCTCCCATTAAGATCCTGAAAAAACTGTTTCTCAGGGTTTAATATGAAGACTTCCAGAACCACAGCATAGTGACAGGGTACTCTCGTGGGCCCCATACTCTAGAGTTTCTCAAGGCTTTAAAATGGTGAAAATGTATGGAACATTCTTCATCTCAGTGAAGAAAGGCAAAGTTCTGAGGATAATGTCCTCCACGTCATCCTTACAGGAATTTCTTTGTGGAAGACTACATTTTTGTGAGTGGTTCTAGATCTTTGACAAATGAAAAACACACATTCTTTGCTAAGGTGATTCCCTTTCATTACAAACATGTGCCATTTTCTTTGACAAAGAAAAACAAGGAAGAATTGGAAAAGAAGTGTCTGTTAGTATGAAGGCTACACATGACAAGTACCAGCTGCTTCCTGATTCCGCAAAATTAACAATTTATTGTATAGAAAGTGATTGCATACAAAGTTTACAGAGATCTGCAACTCCAGACAAGTTACCTGAGACTTAGCGGGACCCTGCCACTTAAGGAGAACAGAATTTGCCAAAGAAAATGATGTTTCGTGTTTTGTTGTGTCTAATGATATAGATAAATGGGTGGTCAGCATTGAATTCATCCTTGTGCTGTAAGATTCGGGATCCTGGCACCTCAATGGACTCGCCACCATCTTCGGTTATTTCTAGGCATACCCTGTGAATCACATTTGATAGGGTCACTCCCTTGGTCTCTGACATGCCAGAGAAATCAGATGTGTTTTCATCGAAGAGACTTTTCAGACCCAGCCTTTCCAGACTAGCCTTGGGATCAATCATCTTTTCCACCTTAAACTTTGGGAGAGAGAGTTTGACTTTGGCATTGGCCATGGTGCTGGGGTTGGTCCACTGCAACAGTGTGTCTGGGTTGAGCTGCTTTTCAATCTGAAGGACAAAATAGGAAAGAATTTTATTTACTTCTGATTGGAAAGAAAGATAAAGAAAGGAAGATCTACCTTGATTAAAAACAGAAAGTATTACTGTACGACCAGCTTTAAACAATCTAAATCAACTTTGGCTTGGAGATGGCCCAGCAAGTTCCTCATATAGGATCCACCAGCCACCCAGACGTCTCCTCCCCATCCTACAGGAAGGCTCTCGTTTGCTTAAATTATAGAGCAGTTTTGTTTGTTTTTTTATTGCAGAAACAGACACATAGATTATTATGTTACATACACCACAGTAAAATGAATATAAAATTAGAAGTTTTTGTATAGATCCGCTGACTGTTTATTATACTTTCTGTACAAAAGAGTTTGCATTATTCATGATCTAGGCATACCACCAAAGTTAATTAAAAGCTATTCCTTTTCTCTTTATGATGGGAACTCAGACTAGCTTTGATCTGCTCCTTAGATTGCAGGTGATGAATACAACCATTTCAACTGGTTGAAAAGATAGATATGCAATGAAGCATAAAATAAGTTAGTCATAAAATTCTTCGTGGAACAAATGAAGTCAAATGGCTCCTTGCCCTTCCCACAAGTGCCACTGAGAATGACAGCTCCTAATCTTACACGAGTGTCCCTCTCCTGGTGCGGATAACAGCCAAGGGCAAAGTCACAAGCTGGTGTGCGTGCATTTTCAATAGGGAAGGAGTAATTTAGTCTTCTATTAGTATCCAACAGCTACTTCTCATTAATATTCTCACTTTCACTTGGTACAAATTAATAGGACCAAAAAATCACTATAATTAACTAGTTTTGCAACTAGTGAGCTAAGGGGCTTATTGATCTGTCCATTTACCACATGAAGTACAGGCCAAGAGCTCTTTTTCCTCTTGAACTCAAACTCTTTATCTTCGTGTCATTGACTGATCATGTGGCCATCAGCTACTCGCTTCTGTGACTTCCTTCCTCATTAATAAACAAGAACATGATAATGGCTTCTACTTCGTAGGAATGTTATACAAATTAAATGAGAAAATTATTGAAAGACTTTAGTAGAAACCTTGGCCCATAGATGACAAACAATTGTTGGCCGTTTTCACTTTAAAGAAGAAAAGAGCCAGACTGGACCTCAAACCCCTTGAAGACGACTGGGCTAGGGTATGTGGGGAGGGCCGTGCCTGCTCCTCCCTCCTCTCACTTGTTCTCCTTTCTAAGTGCCCAGCTGCCTCCTGACCTTTTCCAGGCCTGTGGACTCATCCTCCACATCCTTGGGTAGCACAATGAGCATACTGAGATGCTTATTCTGGAAGGGAAGTTCTATGATCTTAGCGTTGATCTCATCAATGTTGCCCAAACAGAACGTGGCCTCTAGATTCATCATTTGTACTGGTTTGGTGTCTGTCTGTTAGAAGAGAAAGTTTTAAAAGGGTTAATGTTCAATTTATAAAAAAAATACATATATATGCATATAAACATATCTATACAAACATAAACAGAGATTTACATGATAGAGATAGAAATAGAGACAGGAATGATAATAGAGATAGAAATATACTAACTTCTCTTATGCTTTTGGATCACTATAGCTTAAGCACAGACAGGGGAATCCACACTGCTTGCATCCTGTGATGACTTTATGACTTCATTTGAAAGTTATTCATGTACTTTACTATCCCATGCGCTCCACATGATAAAAAACTATATTATATTTACACACATAAAAAGGAAAATAGCACAATTTTACTTATATCAAAATACAAGGAATTAATATGAATACGGGAGCAGGCACCTGTAACCCAGCACTCTGTAGGCAGAAGCAGAAGAACCAGGAATTGAAGGCAAGCCTGAGCTACATCGCAAATTCAAAGCCAGTTTGAGCTACATAGAAATACCTTGTCTCAGAATCACATGGACTGAAGATATCGCTCAGGACTTTAGCATTTGCCTAGCATGTGCAAAGCTGTGGGTTCAATACCCTAGCAATGTGCGTGTGTGTGTGTACACACGTGAGCACACACACACACAAAGATAGAGGAAAAAGGAGAAAGAAAAATGTATAAAATTATTTTCAAACTTTTTCTAATATGTATATGAAACAAAAAAAATTCCTTAGTTAGATTTGGGTTCAACCCCCAAGATAATTCATTAATAAATAGAAGTATTACAAAATCTGGGGAAAACAATCTAAACCCCAAACCACTTCTTGTCTCAAGCTTTTAAGTACATAACTTGTAGATCTGTACAGAATTTCTCAGAATAAACATCACATTAAGCTCTTACTATAACTTCACCAGTATAGTCTAGCCCTTAAAGGAAACATCAAGGTACATGAGAAACAGTTTAATACCATCACTCAAAACACTCAGTGATTTACAAATGTGGTTCAAAGGACTCAGGAGAGAAGTAATAGGACCTGTATTCAAAAGCAGTGTGCTACCCCATGCAGACAGAGTCAAGTCTAACCTCATGTTGGCAGATACTGAACTACCATGACATCACCTCTAGAACTGCTCAGGGGCTAGGTTTCCAGGCTCTGGTGTCACCAGGCTTTACGACTTCATAGCAAGAATGAAGGGAGAACACACATTCTCTCTCTCCATTTAGAAACATGCTTTAGCCATTTCACAAATATAAAACCACAGATCCTAACAAGATCAAAGCCCAAGTCCCAGTTCCACCCACTGGCATTCCATGAGTGACCCCAGGGAATCCACAAGAGACCCCCTGAGCCACATGCTCTAGGGCCCATTGCTGACCCTTCCCAGAGAGGAGCGTCAACCATCAACCAAATGAGCCATGTCATCCTAACATGATTGGTAGTGGGGTGACCCCACACCCCTGTGAGGGCAGAGGCTGTAAAGTATATGCCGCTCCAGCTCTCAATGGCAGACAGCATCAAGCATGCCCAGAGCCATGCCAAAGCCTATGTGTGAACTTGCAATGTCTGAGGTGTCTAAAGAGTAACCGCTGTCACCAACACACGTCTGGTGGACAGCCAGCCCTGTACCTAGCAGTCAGTTAAGTCCACTGCAGTCAAAGAACTCAGGAGAGAAAGTGTGAGAAGAATCCCCTGCCCCCTCCTCAACCAGCACCCTGGGAGACTCTGGATCCATATGAGCAGCTTCTCCCTCCCCAGCACCCTGGGAGACTCTGGGTTCCTCAGGGGCACTAACAGTACTTCTCCCTCCCTAAGAACTATGTGATCACGGACTGTTGTGTTTTATCTGACACTAATTTAGAGCTGAGGATGTGGGTCAGTATGTCAAATTCTTACCTATCATGCACAGAGCTCTGGTTTGAATCCCTGGCAATACATGCACCCACTGTGGAGGTGAGTGGCTCTAATCCTGGAATCGGAGAGGTAGACAGGAGAGTCAGACAGCCAGAATCAACTGTGGAGGTGAGTGGCTATAATACTGGCATTAGAGAGGTAGACAGGAGAGTCAGACGGCCAGAGTCAACTGTGGAGGTAAGTGGCTATAATACTGGCATCGGAGAGGTAGACAGGAGAGTCAGACGGCCAGAGTCAACTGTGGAGGTGAGTGGCTATAATACTGGCATCGGAGAGGTAGACAGGAGAGTCAGACGGCCAGAGTCAACTGTGGAGGTGAGTGGCTATAATACTGGCATCGGAGAGGTAGACAGGAGAGTCAGAAGGCCAGAGTCAACTGTGGAGGTGAGTGGCTATGATCCTGGCATCGGAGAGATAGAGACAGGAGAGTCAGAAGGCCAGAGTCATTTGAGGATATGTTTAAGCTGAAATCTAGTCTGGGTTACATAAGACTGTCTCAAAATTTGGGGTGCTGGTCTTTGAAAATTGATTGATTATTCATCCAAAAGTTTGCAGAGTGCTTAATGTAAGAAACTGTACACACCGAGGTGAGAAAGGCACCGTCCTTACCCTTATAAAGTTCAGCCACTAATTGAGCAAACAGGAAAACAAATTTGTCTTAAGAAAAAAATATTTGATGTGAGAGGGGTATGGACATAAACTCCATGAGGGAACGGGGCAATTACAGAAGCCACTCTAGCTAACCCAGGCCAAGTTGGTATGTGAAAAGGATTTTCTCCTTGATTCTAGCATTAAGAACCTGAGAACCAGACAGGGCTCAGGGGAAAACCTACTACTATTATTCTGCTGAAGGAACATGGCAATAAAATGACTCCTAACAACACCCGGCTATACACATAGCTAAGAGCAGCAGCATCAGAGAACTTTCTTCTTTCAGTAGATGGTAACTAACAAAAAAAAAATCCACACTGGACGGTGTGCACAGGGTGAGGGACTTCACAGAGCCCAATCCTAAAAGGAATGTATGTATCTGACTCCTCCCTCAAGGCTCAGAGATCTATGTAGAAGAGGAGGCAGGAAGACTATCAAAGGCAGAGGTGGTGGATGACATCAAGGAATCAGCATTTTTCAAACACAGCAGGACTGATACACGCATGAATTTACGGAGGCTGGGACAGCATGCACAAGACCTGTGACAGTTCGAGCTAGATGGAATCCCTGCACTGAGAAGAGGAAGTAGACACCAAGTCCCACCCTAACCAAAATGTTCTTTGCCATGGATACCTGCTGGGAAAGGGGAACTCCATTTTCTCCAATGGAGTGTCCCTGGGTTTGTTTATCACCCACACTCCAGGGAAGGCCCATGCTCAGGAGCAGTCGACCAGCACAGGCACTCCATGGCATTATAGTACATGCACACATGTGGAAGTTAGAACAACTGACGAAAGTTGTCTCTCTTTTTATACCATGTGGATTTGAGGAACCGAACACAAGCCATGAGGGTTGGGAGTAAGTTCCTTTACCTGCTGGGGCATTTTGCTGGCCCAAATATTCATACAAGTCACATTCCTCGTACACAACCAAATCACACACAAATCTTCGAGGTTCCCCAGGATCTTTCAAGATTTTTCTAGTCCTGATTCTTTGGTTTAATATATTTTAAAATGGTCCTTTGTTTACAGATATTAGTTTTTATGCATCCACCTCAATAGCATAAATGATACTGCCCCCCAAAAAATGAGCTTCTAATCCTTTTTGTAATGACTCCTGGGAATAGATGAGTCATGCTATGCTTTGTTCTTCATAATCAATCAGGGCCTCAAAGCATATAATAAATGCTCTAGGCTGGGCTGGGGAGTGGAAGGCTGGGCTGGATGGGAGGAATGGGGTTGGGACTGCGCTGGGGCTGGGCTGGGGCTGGGGATGGGCTCTACCAAAAGGGGAAAGGAGGAAGGGGTAAGAGATGAATATTAAACCGTGGTTTTTATCACCAGATAGGTAAGAAAATGAGATAAAAGTGAGGTGACTGAGTCAGGAGCACAATTCCTAACTGGTCTAACTTTCCTGATAACCCAAAGGCCTCTAACGTGGTTTCTTTGCTTCCTTCCCTTCCTTTTCCCTCCTTGATTTCAGGAAGTTTTCACATCCACGCCAAGAGTCCCTGAGCCCTGCTCTGCTGCCACGATTTGAAACCCATTTCCTGCTTCATGCTGTGCATACCTTGTTGACTCTGAACGGACATTCTTTTGTTTCTGATTCAGGAAATTTTTTCATCCACTTTCCAACAAAGTAGGCGGCATTAACCATGAGGATTTTGGTCTGGTCGCTTATACTGTTCTCCGACAAAATGTTCTCAAAATGGCCTGCAAATTATTGTAGAAACCACACATCATGGTCGTCCATTGAAGTAGCCTGCTACTGCAAGCTTGTTCACTGACTGGATGCCCATCACTCCTTAGCATCACACCTGGAAGGACTGGTAGCCAAGGCTGTCCACTTGAGGGCATCTTTTCTGCCCTCCTCCCCTTCCAGACCAGACATCTCAGAGAGATCTAGGACTGGAAATCAGCCCTTTCTGACTCAGCTTGTACTCCTGCGCTAAGTAGACACCCGCTTTTCACCAGGCCATGTCCACACCTCCACGTATATCACCTCACTGTTTTCCATTTACAGTTGAGGAACCTGAGGTTCAGAAGGGGTCAAGGGCTGCTCTACTGTGCTCAGCTGAGGCTACATCTTCACTCTACAATTCTACGCTCCTTTCCCCAGCTCACTCCTTGGAGGCAGCTGATGGACTGGAGGTCAGCTGTAACACTCACAAGTGCAGTCACTTCATAATTACCTCAGGCCTTAAGTCCTCCACAGCCCACAGAGCACAACCACGAAACCCCCTTAAGAAAAACACTGCTGTGGTTTGAATGGCACCTGGCATTTTTGCAAACACTGTCACTTACCTAATTTTCACGCTGTGGTCATGCCCAGTGTCCATTTTAAGGAACCATGCACAGGATCAGTGTTCTGCCAGCACTGCCTTAAGATGCTAACTAATGAGTGTATAACATACAGCCTGCATTTTCTTTCATGCTCTAGGTCCTACAACCTGAGTCCAGTCCTGCCGATGCCACCTATGTCGGCTACGTGATGACTTTATTAAAGAAATCCAAAGAGCTAATAAAAATCCAGGTGCCAATAGTGGCAGAGTTTCAGCTGACACCTTGCTTCTGTCTCCAAATTCAGAATTCCCCCTAAGTCCCACCCTCTCCAGTCAGAAACTGCAAACTTATTGAGATGCCAGGATAGAAAGCTTAGACAGTTGATAAACAAAGCTGCAACAGCGATTTTAAGCCAAAGCTTCTTTCTGCTTATAATGTTCAAAATTGTATTAAACCTGGTGCTGTTTATATCAGCTATTCCTTCCCATGCAAGGCTAAAGAGATTTTATTTCAGTAACATATATTTGTGTATGCAATACATATATCCACATGCATATATGTTTATGACTACCATATAGTGTATATACACACCATCTATTTGGAGGCCTCACAGCAATCACGTGAGAATTTTATTAAGATATGCCACATTTGACTGTTCTGTAAATTGCAGCTCCATATCTAAACGTGTTGACCATCTATATGTGGTACCTGGATTCGAATCTGGCTTCTAAATGACTCCAGAGTTCCTGTTCTTCCCATGTTGTTAGAGGTGGACATCATTCATGAGGCAGCACTCAAATGGGATGCCGTGCTGGTCTCTGACAGTTCTCAAAAGTTCTCACCCCAGCAACTATCGCTCGGCAGCCGTCAGTGACCGCCAGTCCTTCAAAATTACTTTCTACCTCCCAACAGGCCCCCCTCAACAAACACATCTCTAGGAAAGGAGAAACAGTCACTGACTGCAATCCAAACCATCTGAGTTCCGATTCTTCCTTGGCAAGGGAGACAACTGACAGGGACTTTTAATGGGGGCGGTGAAGTCAACCCAGAGAGAGGGCTGAAAGGAAGCAGGCATGGACTTGAATGCGGGCAGCCTGAGAACGTGTGAGATTAAGGACAAACTTCCACTCTGGTTGCTAGGTTTGCTTTGTTCTAGATTTGCATTTGCCTAAGACTTTTTGGATTTTTTTTTTCATTTTTGATAAAGCTGTAAAAATTTTTAGTTGGAAGTAGATTCAAGGATTATCTTCCCATTTCAAGACTTTAAAACCTGACTTTGTGACTTGCCAAAAGCCATAGTATAAAGGAAACAGCTGGGCCCCTACCAAGGCATGTGACAGCTTGTCAGAGAGCAAAGCAAAGCACGCTAAAGAAAAAAAAAGCATATAATTTGCCAAGTTATGAGCTGATACAAGAAATGCCAGAAACTGGAGTTGTTGACATGACTTGATGGGCAAAGAACTTAGCTTGCGCACTAAAATTACCCGAAGAAGCTTCCAGATGTTTAATACTTTTAGGCTTGAAGCAAGCATTGTTAAGCAGGAAGACCTCTTTGCTCAGCTGTTTACAGAACATTAAAGGGTACTTGCCATCTGTGAGCTCCTTAATAGAGCTGTTAATTTGACCTTTCGTTTCTTCCAGTTTATCTTTGAAGTCGACAGTTTCCAATTCTTTTGCATATGGCCTTTTTGTAGAACTGATAAATTCCTGAAAAACATCCAATTCACAGAATCACAAAGCTCTTAGCATCTGTAGGTGCAGCTAATGCTAAGAAATGAATTCCTTAAATATCTATTACTATGCATATATTTTCAAAAATTGGTCACACCATATGAAGCCTCATGTAGAAATAAGTATTTTCTTTGTATTAGATGTTTTATTTCTTCAGTTATAAGACATAACAATTATTAAATTATCAATTGATTATCAGGTCTGTCAATAACAGAAGAAACACTATATTAAATATGTATAGTTAAAGTATGAATCTCAATATTTCAAAAATATTTACTTATATTATTACATACATAGTAAAAATATGCAGTTGTGATTTTAAACTAATATATGCCTCAGACACTTAAGGTTTGAACTTTTAGTTCTCAATTTCTGGTGCTATTTTGAGACTTCCTATAAACTTTGAGAAATACAGCCTAACTGGAAAAAAAAAGGTCACTGGGGTCCTTGGAGATAATTATTCTCACTGTCACTTCCTGTCACTCTCTACTCCCTGTTCCTTCACGATGTGAGCAGCTGTCTTCCGATACCTGCTCCTATTGACATTTCTGCCCAAACAGCCATGGACTTTGGAATCTTAGAGCCAAAATAATTTTTTCTTCCATTAATTTGCCTCTAGAAAGTATTTTATTACTGCAACAAGAACAAATAATGAATACAACACATATATATATATATATGATGTATGTCAAAAATAAGAATCAGAAATGAAAACAATGAGCAAAAACCCTTATCTCCACTAAAATAAATGAATATTCTTTAGAGTCCTGACACTCAAAATATGGTCCAAAGATCAGAAGTCAAGCATCACCTAAGAGCTTGTTAGAATGAGCTCTCCAGCCCCTTGACTGACTAAGACTATGCATTTTAGCAAGATTTCCATGAGTTGCACATTGAAATGTGAAGTATGGGACTGTGGAGAACATAGTGCTGTGTCTAACTCTAATTCTTGTTTAAAATGCAAATCCTAGCCACACTGATCTTGATACAAGAGATAGGAGGCCATGAACTTAGGCTTTCAACAAATACTTGAAAGGTTTAAATTCAGGGGCCGCTCCTCAGGGTACCAGCTGGTAAATTTGCAGGTATTTTGTGGTAAGAGAATCAATGAAAAACAGAGAAAAAGGAAGAGATGGGGAAAGGAGAAAAGAAGGGGAGGGAGGGAGGGAGGGAGGGGAAGGGAAGAAATAAAGGGAAGAAAAGGAAAGAAAAGGGAAGGAAAGAGAAGGGCAAGGAGAAAGAAAAGGGGAGAAAATGTCAAGGAAAAGGAGGGGATAGAAAGGGAAAAGAGAAAAGAAAAGAAATGAAGGAAGGGATGGGGAGAAAGGAAGGGAAGAGAAGAAAAGAAAAGTTTGGTAGAAATGATTCTAAATATGGAAGGGAAGTCCAAGCAAGCTAACAGAGTTGGATGCCGTGTCACTCTGTTCTTGAATTCCTTCAGAGTAACAACAGTCTCACCCAACTAACTTAGCTCCACTTAGCTAAAAGTCAGCCGTGGAGTGGTGGGAGCAGCCAGCACTCCTAAGAACATCAAAAGACTTCAAGTGAAGAGCCCCCACTGTCATTGCCAATGACAAGTCTTTAAACATCACTTGGGGAGTTTTTAACATGCTCCCATACTCAGATGAAATGCACATCTCAATTTTCTTTCATTTCCCAGGCGACAGCTGGAACAAAAATAGTTGTGCATATGTGTCTTCATGCCATAAGGGTAAACTCACAACAATATCTAATAACTTATTTCTCAACCGTCTCTCACAAAAGCAAGCATGGAATGCAGAACACTGCCATGCCATAGTGGGACATTTGGCTTGGCAATCTAGAAGCTTGAAATTGTGACCAGAGAAACAAAAGCTGAGTCAGTTCTACATTACCAGAGAAGGGAAAGTCCTGTAATCGAGAATGTTAGTTATGAGTTAGAATAGAGATCTTAAAAATATTGCGCTACACTCTAGGATCTAACAGGAGGGGATCACAGTGTTCTTCATATGACAGCTTCAAGAAATGCCTTGGCTTAAATGGCTACGGCAGCTTTGTACAATGTCTTTCTGGGTGGACTAGGAAAATAGCACGGGATCACATCTGATGAAAATGAGTCATTTATGTTGGTTATTTTCTACTGATTCTAAATGCTATCTGGACAAATTTAAAAAAAGAGTTGGGGAGTTTAAGACAACCTCAAGCAGTGTGTGCCCCCACTGTTTAAGGAGAGAGTTTCTTTCAAGTCATTTTGAGTCCTTATAAAGATCTGTTTACTAGATAGTTGGTCCTTCCATGATCCCTTCTTTCCAAAGGAACTGAGGGTGGGGAAGGATTGGTTAAAGTTCATAGGGAAAGGGGACAAGGTTTTCTGTATTCCAAGCCAGAAGTGACTGCTGTTTCATCCCGCATCATCTGCAGTAAGGTCGCTTTCCTTTTCTAAGCTTTAAACCATAGCTGGCCTATGAAAGGAGGTGTCCTGGAACAAGCTGTGGGCCCACAGAGTGACATGCCCTTCCTGGGATGGAGCACAACCAAGCTGTGAAAAACCACTTACTGTAGAAGGGTTCAGAGATTTGTCTATGTAGAGTCGCTTGATTAGCTTCAAAGAGTAAAAGGAACTGAGCTTATTTACATCCGAAGTGACTGTTTGAAACCCAAAGGGTACATCTTTGACATTCTCAAAATGAAGAACCTGTTTTAAAAAAAAAAAAAGAGCATTCCATTATCAAAAAATAAAATAAAATAAAACAAAACATTGTTCTGGGGGTTGAGGAGATAAAGTGTTTGTATTGCAAGAATGAGGACCTGAACCAGATCCCAAGATCCCATGTTCTAAGAGAGAGAAACAGAGACAGAGAGAGAGAGACAGAGACGGAGAGACAGAGACAGAGAGACAGAAAGAATGAAAGAGAAGAGAAAGGGAGGAAGGGAGGGAGGAAGGACGAAGGAAGGAATCCGGGCATCAGTAGCTCCTCAGTAAGGTATGAGGCATAAAGAGCACCTCCCTGGCTATCTGTCTGTGGCTCAGGTCTTGTGGTGCAGGTAACCACAGCTGCTGGGAGCTGATGGGTGCTGTGACCCTGTCAGGCCCAGGAGTTTGCATGTCACAGCACTTCCCCACATCCTCCATGTCCTGCGTTCTTACTGCCTCCGCTTCCACATTTCACGAGCCTTCATGTTGTGAGGGGAAGAAAGGTCAAAAAAGATGGCCTATTGTGGCTGAGTGCTCATTCTCTTATTTCAGAACTTAGACCAGTTATGCAGGTCAGTGTTGACTGCTGCCCACTGCAAAAAGGGGCTTCTCCAGAACTCAGAGAATGCACAGCCACTGGCACATTTCCCGTGCCTCGGGGGATGACCTCTCACCTCTACACATATAGGCAGCACCAATTGGACTAAGCAGGTTGGCAGGGGGAAAAAGGCATGAAGCTTGGAAAAAGCCATGTTGGGGGGTTGAAGGGAGTTAGAAAAGTTAAATGGGGATGAACATTATCGTTTCATTGTGTGTGTGTGTGTGTGTGTGTGTGTGTGTGTGTGTGTATTCCCAAGAATTAAGAAAAAATAATATTTAAAAAGACCAGAAGTTTTGGTAAAACCAGATATGTTACATGCACTGAAATACTTTTCCTTTGGTCGAGGAATGGACAGGCCCCATAGCCCTTCTGGAAAAAGGAATGAAAAGTAAAAAGTGGAGGCTGGGTTGAAGCATTTGGAGAGGAGTTCATAGCAGCTCTCCCTAGGACTCAAGTAGCTGCCTCTGCCTCTCTTGGTCTCTCATCCTAACCTCGGCAACATTTATGAGTCATGATTTTATGGATACTTGTGATTTTAAATACTGATGAGCTTGTGAAAAAAAAGGGTTTTTTTTAACCTTACATCAATCTACATAAAAAAATAATAGAATGGGATTGGAATTACTGTACTGTCTAAGAGATTGTGAGGCCTCAAAACAGCAATCAAGAAAATCAACTCATTTAAGAACTTTACCAAGCTAATCAAGCACAGCCCCAAAGAAACTCTGAAACATCTATATAATTACGTATATATTTACATGGGAAAATTTGCTTTAGTCCATGCCTCTCAAATGAGATAACCAAACCCCCAGTGTTCTAAAACATATGTGCATGCAATTTATTTTATCTATCCCAACTTGGAGATAGATCATTTAAAATGTTACTTCTGAAATTGGAAATACTCTAGAGTAGAATGTGATTGAGCTCACATCTTAATATTAAGTTCTAAATAAATTGTCTGTTGAGAGCAGTTCTTGTTCTCTGAATGTAGGGCAGGGGGCAGGGGACAGATTTTTCCCATTTACCAAGAGTGTGTGCAGTGGAGTATTAACAAGTCATGGACTGATCTTCAGAAATGTCAGGTGAGGGATGTCATGTGACTTGCTGACAGTCACTGGGAAATGGAACATCTGTCAGACCCCCATATTCTACATCCTAACCTGCTACCCGTTCTAAATATAGATCATGCTACCCATAAGTGAATGTTCACATTTAGAAGAGACTAAGGGAGCCTTGGAGATGTCTACATGTCTTTTATCTTAGGCCCTGACTATGAATTCTAGTAACTATCCCCATTCAAAATCAAAACAAGGTTTGGGTGGCTTACCTGTCCAATTTCATTTGCTGTGTCACCTTTGGTACCTACTTGAGCAAGTGACAGGGAAGTAGAGAGACATATTGGAGAGAAGAGAAGGTTTCCCGTGGGCTCCTTTTCACATAGCTGTTTGAACAAGTCAACAGCAAAAGCAGAATTTGCCAGTCTCAGGGAGTCCATCGTGGGCCTAGAACCAAGCACAAAACTTAATTTCCAATGTAAAATGTGTTCTCAGCTACATCCTGCCAACAGCAGTAAGAAATCTACTTCAGTGAAGCAATGATCTAGGGCAGGAGACAAGAAGAAACTTTCGGTAAATTCCCAAAGAATGGCAGACATGAAGAAACCTCGGGGCAAATGTCTGGAGGTGCATGATGTCTTCTGTGTGTGCTGTTCTCACTGTGGCCAGCATCTGATGCCCAGCCCTGGCGCCACTTCCTCAGCAAGCAGTCAGAGCAACTGATGCCATTAGAAAAACTCAGTCCGCTTATTTCAGTTACTATTTTGGTTAAATTAGACAAAATATCTATTTGTATATCAAAAAGTAATTGTAACAGTTTTATGATGTTCTATTTAATATTTAATAAATGTATAATTTTGTTCTCAAAAATACACTAGATTCCTAAATTTTTTTCTTTTTGGTTTTTCAAGGCAGTGCTTCTCTGTGTAGCTTTGGAGATTGTCCTGGAACTCGCTCAGTAGACTAGGATGACCTCAAACACACAGAGATCTGCCTGACTCTGCCTCCCAATGCTGGGATTAAAGGCGTACACCACCACTGCCCAGCAAATTCCTAATTCTTAACATCTATGAATTTAGCTTTGTTTGGAAGGAGGGTCTCTGCAGTTTAAATTAGTTAAAATGGGGTCATACTGGAGTTAGGTGGAGGCTAATCCAATGTGACAAGTGTCTTTCTGAGAATAGGAAAGAAAATATAGATATGGAGACACAGAAATGAAAGATAACCTGTATATTATATACAGGGAGAACAAACTGCTACATAGCTTAGACAGGATGTGTATGCTGAGGTCAGAGAGACAGTTTTAGTACCCAGGGTCAAAGGCTTCCTTAGCCAGGACCCATAAATGTCTTAGAGTCAAGTACAAGGACAGAATCACAATTTTCATCTTAGACCTAAACAGATTACAGATGCAAAGACAAGAGAATAAATCAAAAAGTGGATTCCTGGTTCAGAACGGTATTCAGATTTCTCTTTATAGGGATGTATGTAAAGTGACTCAAATAGATCATAATATTCCTGAGAATCTGAAAATCACAGTTATTAGCAAAAGAAAGCCAAAGTTGAGCCCACTGGTGACCACCAGTCCCATTCCCTGACCTCCTGACCTCCCCCACTGGTGACCACCAACCACCCTCTGCCCCCTCTGCTCACTCGCTCACGCGCGCTCATACACACACACACACACCCTGCACTGGTGACCACCAGCCATTCTCCCTGACATTGCCCTTCTGCTTATGCCTATGATAAGTATAGCAAGAGCAGACAGACTTGTGTGCCTATTACAAATCTATCACAAGGCACCAAAAACTTGTGGTGAGCGTTTATGCGTTTTTAAAAAGCCATTAGTCCTATTCCTGCTCTCGGGTGGGACCATGACATCGTCACCCTGCATAAAGGCTGACCAGTGTGAAGTGAACGGAAATCAGCAGAATCCCCTGCTGTGTGTCTGTGGAGGGCTTGGAGCCATCTGCCCACCACAGGGAGTATATGAGAGACTCCTGATTCCAGGTTTAGAAAATATATGTGAGAGACTTGGAGAACAGAATTCAGGCTTCCTCTAACAGCATGTTTAACCCTGACAATTCTGAGTTGACCACAGCCACAGCTCGACCTGAGTTGTGTGGGAAATGAGGAACTGTGTCCTCACCAAATAGAGAAACCTAAAGTCAGATCCCCGCAAACTGTTCAACACTTCCTCCAGGAAGCATGTCAGAGTGTAAGGAGACATTCACTCTACCGTTCCTTAGTGCCAGCATGCTGAGATCCATTCAGCCTAAATAACTGTGTGCATAGACTCACTCAACTTTCAATGAGTCTAGTTACAATATTAATACAAGTGCTGTATTACAATGTGAGGCTTGGATCCAGGTTGTGGTTGGAAACTATAAATGGATGCACACTTGACACATGGCATGGCTCCCATCAGCACAGAGAACCTTCCTCTGCATGGTGGGCTTTGAAGTCCAAACCCACATGTCTGCCTGACAACTGGCTCCTTGTTCAGAAAATCCTCCTTGGCTGTGAAGAAAGGGAGCCGTCTCTACGGCGCCACCATCCGATGCAGCCCAAAGGTATCAAGTGTAAGGTCTGCATATGTATGGAGAGCGTTGTAACGGTGTGATGGTTCATCTTCACTGTGAACTAGTGTAATTTAGAGCCCCATGGAAGCAAATCTCTGCACATGCCTGTGAGGTAGTCTCCAGGGTAATTACGATAAAGGCCCACTCTAACTATGGGTGGCATTATTCTAGGGGCCACTCGTCCCACCCTGCTGTCCCCTCCCTGTCACGAGGGGCTGTGTCTTCTGCAACTGACAGACAAAGGAAGCACACCCTGCCTTCAGCTGTTGGCCTCACATATGTTGTCACAGCGAGAATAAAAGTGGCACACCTCCACCAGTTAGGAAATCAAACAATTATCTAATGGAAAATCACACGAGTGGCTGTGCGATTGGTCCTGAGTGACCTGAAAACCAATGGAAAGCTGCTGTCCTCTGAGGGAGCTGGAGAGACGACAGAGTACAGCCAACTGGCGACTCCCTGTGTGGTAAGACGACGAATTTAAGCAAATCTCAGACATGTGCACAGTAACACCCAGAAAGAAGTGTGAAGTTCCTACATAGGTCGTTTTGCACACGCAAATTCTATTTTAAAACTTGTACATTTCAAATCCAGATGAATAAGCCCCATACAATAAGTTTACATGACTAAAAATTTGCATTCGAAATGCTAAAACCATTGCAATTGTTTCCACCTTTTCATTGCCTCTGTACAGGATTGTCTTCTTCGATTTTCACGAAAATCCAAGAATCAGTCTTTTTAAAAATACTATTCAGGCTGGAGAGATGGCTCAGTCATTAAAGGTTGGGCTCACAACCCAAGTTTTTTTTTTTTTTAAACTCAAGAACAATGGCAATGGGTTTTGATCCTACTGCACGTACTGGCTTTGTAGGAGCCTAGGCAGTTTGGATGCTCACCTTACTAGACCTGGATGGAGGTGGGTGGTCCTTGGACTTCCCACAGGGCAGGGAACCCTGATAGCTCTATGGGCTGACAAGGGAGGGGAACTTGATTAGGGGAGGGGGAGGGAAATGGGAGGCGGTGGCAGGGAAGAGACAGAAATCTTTAATAAATAAATAAACGGAAAAATTTTTTTTTTTTATTTTAATTTATTTATTTATTAAGAATTTCTGCCTCGTCCCCACAACCGCTTCCCATTTCCCTCCCCCTCCCCCGATCAAGTCCCCCCCCCCCCTCATCTGCTCGAAGAGCAATCAGGGTTCCCTGACCTGTGGGAAGCCCAAGGACTGCCCACCTCTATCCAGGTCTCCTAAGGTGAGCATTCAAACTGCCTAGGCTCCCACAAAGCCAGTACGTGCAGTAGGATCAAAAACCCACTGCAATTGTTCTTGAGTTCTCAGTATTCCTCATTGTCCGCTATGTTCAGCTAGTCTGGATTTATCCCATGCTTTTTCAGACCTAGGCCAGCTGGAAAAAAAATTTTTAAAAAAAACATTATTCTATTTGATTCTAACCCAGAAAAAAACCTTCACCTTTCATACCCACATTGGAGTAACTTTCATCTTGACAGGAGAAAGTCGGATGACTCCACAAGCAGTAACACAAATACAGTTTTCAAGAATTTATAGCCCTTTGGCTAAGGGTGAACGCCTACCTAGTGAAACAGCACCAGCCTAGTCAGTCCTGAAACCATAAGCATCCGAGCAGCACTGAGGACTATTCGGTAGGCTGTACTTAGATGTTTATGTGTTTATAAAAATATGTGACAATAATAATCACAGAAAAAGAGGTTGTGAATCTAGCTAGCAGGGGTGGGACAGAGGAGGAGAGGAAAATGGTGTGATTAGGTTTTATCTTAATTAGTTTTTTCAGTCGTTAAGGAAAATGAGAACTGAAAGTCAAGAGCCTTGTTTCTGCAGTTCTGTGGTGAGGTATTGTACAATCATAAGCCTTTAACGTGGGATAAGATCTACCCTGGCCCCACCTCTTCATTTAGAGGTGAAGATGGAGAGATTCTCCCAGGCCTCCCACACAGGGAGTGAGAGTAACAAGGCCAAACCTAGAACTCATTCCTTCGGGATCCCAGCCCAGCTCCTCCCCACCACACCGCCTCACCTTCTTTCTTCATAATTGGGTTTTTGCTCACATTTAACTTTTTCTGAAGTTTCTCAAGTTCAAAAAATACTGTATTCTTAATGATCCCCTTCAAAGATACCAAGATTTCCTCTGTGTGTAGAAGGGATGTTGTTTTTGTTTGGGTCTTGTGGTTGTTTCTTCGGTTGCTTGATTTTCCTACTTGAAGGAATTCTGGCTCTTTTTGCATCTGATGTTTCAAGTTCTCTATGTTTTGATTATTTCATTCTATAAGCTGTAAGCACCTAACTCAATCCAGGCAGAAGTAGGCATTAAGAATCCCAAGATGGGGGCTGGAAAGATGACTCAGTGGTTAAAAGCACTGGTTGCTCTTTTAGAGGACCAGGGTGGCTCACAACCATCTGTGATTCCAGTTCCAGAAGATCTAATGGTCTCTGTGGACACTGCATTTATGTGGTACACAGGCATACACATGCAGGCAAAACACATAAAATAAAAATAAATAAATGAAAACAATTGAAAAAAAACAAAGGCATCCCAAGGTGCACACATCCTAGCTTCTGCCTCCACCAAGCATCAGATAGTGCCCAAGTGTGATGATAGCAAGTATCAGTTACCATGGGAACCCTGAGAAGCACCTCAGCCCTAGCGGAAATCTCAGAGACACTTCAGAGAAGCACTGACAACAAAGTGAGTCACACTAAAAGGATAAGATGGACTTAATCAGACAAAAGGAGACCAGAGACAACTGAAGCAAATGAGCAGAATAACACTTAGCTGTAGGTGTGAGGATATAATAAGGTTTAGAAAGCAGTAAGGATTTATGTAAAGCAGGGTTAGTAGATCCTTTTCTAAGGTCCATGACCTCACTGGTCCTAGAAGCTGGCGGGGTTTCCAGGACCAGGCATAGCTTCCCTCCTCTTGAGTGGGCCGTATGTCCAATTAGACAACTGTTGGTTGTCACTAGACGTGAGTGCCACCGACTGCACCTTTTGCACACCTTGCCATGGTGGTAATTGTCGCAGTTCATAGGTGTTACAGCTGGGTAGGGCTGTTTAACAGCTTCCCTCCCTTGGCAGCTTGCATAGTATTTCTGGAACCATGGAAGCTATACCGCAGGAAAGAGACTTTCAGGTCAGACCCAGCTAGAGTCTTCTGAGTCCTGTGTCTTAAGTGTGTAGTGCCTGCAGCAATAGGGATCCATTCTCAACCCTCCTAGGCAACAAAGGGCTATGCCAATTATCTATATTGTTCTGGAAGTTGCTTGGCCTACACTGGCCAACCCTCTGAAAGGGTTCTTGTGTCTGGCACTGGACATTTTGTCCTTTTTGTTAGTTTGTGGTTCTTATAGGGAGCATTGGCAGCCCAAGAGGTTTAACTTCCTTTAAAATAGAGAGATGATTCATAAACAGACAGAACGTAGGTGGTAGATAAATGATAGATAGATAGATAGATAGATAGATTACCTTATATGTTCTGTATATAATTTTAAGTAAATAAAAAATAATATAATTCCTTGAGGCCTATCAAATAACCTTGGTATTATTTGTACCTTGTCTCTCTTTTCTGTATTAATCTTCATCTTTCCTCCCTACTACAGCCTCCTCCTCATTATTCTCTCTCATCAAAAAAAAAAATTCTTCTCTTAGAGCAAATGGAGGGTATACCACAGAAAACCACAACTGGATATAAGGTAGAGATCGACAGATTTAACCCAGCACCAACAGACATCTACATCACATCCATGACTCAGGGAACATTTTGGAAGAAGGGATGGAAAAATTTTAAGTTTCAAAATACCAGGAAATCTATTGTGAAACAGTCTTTCCTAGAAATGGCTGCATAAACAGGACCAGAACAATGGCAATATCAATGGATACATTTTCATGGAAGGGTGGAAAGTCTGAGGGCCCAACACCTAGACACAGAACTAGAAACAACTCTGGATGGCTGGGAGAAGAACTCATCCTTCCCAGCGATGAGACCCTTATTGACTGTTCAATGTTGAATGCTCAGCTTGTAACCATACGAGCAAAACAACAAAAACAGATTCAGCAGGCTCTATTTAAATATATCTGCACACACACACACACACACACACACACACACACACACAACACACGTAAAGGGCTATAACACATACAATCAAAGAAATAGCGGCTATCACCTTGTTGAGGAAATGGGGAGAATTAAGGAAGAATAACTAGGAGGGGCTGCAGGGAGGCAAGGGAAGAGATATGACGTAATTCATTCTATTTCAATTAAAAACAAAATAAAATAAATGAATGGAGCCATATGCACTAGGATGAGGGAGAACTCACTTCTCTGGACGAATAGTTTATGATGCCCCCTTTGCAAAGATTTCCCAAGGGCGTAAAGCATCCAAGCCAGTGATCTTCAAATGTGCTCATCTTGAAGCTGTTTGGAGAGATAAAGCTCCCTGCAGGAAGGAGATTATGCACCCGACTTTTCCTGAGACTGTCTTAGCATATGGCTGTTGTCCTGCATGCCCACAGTCAAATGATATAGGTCATCCTATCTATACACTGTCTGCCACGCTCATTTGATTCACACACATGTGTACATACACACGTGTACACACACATGTGTATACAGAGAGAGAGAGAAAACTACGTGCATACTTTTTCTTCATTTCTTAATAACTAAATTTTTGCCAGGCCTGAGAGCTCATACTGTAATACCAAGAAGGCTGAGGCAGAAGGATTGCCATGGGTTGTGAGTTTATAAGAGTCTGTCCTACATAGTATATGCCACCTTGGGGGGTGGGTACATAGGGAGATCCTGTCTAAAGAAGAAAATGCAGTTTTCCACACCAGAGTATTACAACTATCCTTTAGCCTGATTTGCCTCATTGCACAGACAGGAGAGTTGGTGAAGAACCTCTTTTAGGTATTATTTATCTACTCACCCATTGCTGAATTGAAGGCTGAACCTTATGCATACCAGGCAAATGCTCTACCACTGAGCTATGACCCCCGTCCATTTTTTTATCTTTTAATTTAAAATAGGGTTTTCCTACGTTACCCAGTCTGACCTTAAATTCCCTCTCACCCAAGTGGGCCTTTAATTTGGCCATTCTCCTGCCTCAGCCTCTCAGGAGGCTAGGATCACAGGCTTCTGCCACCAAGCCCATCCCTCTTGGAGCTCTGATATGACTGGTCCTTGGGCAATAATTTGACCCGAAGCATAAGAACGGAACACTGCCTCTATGGTTCACTTTCTGATTCGAGGAGGAGAAAACAGTACCAGATTAAGAAAAAGTATGAGACTCTCTAGCTTCCTTATGTGGCGCCGCACTATGAGAACTGAATGAAGTGATTGGGTAAAGGTGTCTAGAAAGTGCCTTCATGTCAGGAAAGTAGAGTGCAGGCCTAGGTAATGAGGACAATCTGTCATTTCCAACCTCGGAGGAGCCCGCCAATCTTAACTGCTGGCCCACTACATGGCTGCCAGACAATGCCAGACTAACCCTGCCGCACCTGGATGACCCAAACTGCTGAGACTGCATGCTGCAAAGTCAAACCCAGAGCGACTGAAGCGGCATCCTGAGGGCGTTAGGAGGCAGGGGTACGAAGCTGCTGACTCACTTGCTAAAGTCCTGTTCTGCTAGGCTTTCTCCTCTCCACCCATCCGGGAGCTCATCAAGGCCTGCACTTACTTTAAGGTGACTGATGCTTGTAACACAATTTTGTTAAAGATTCTCTTGAGATGGAAAAGATAAAGGAAAGTTTTTACCAGAACTTATGTCATAAAACATGCCTGACTGTCAGTCTGAAGCCTTCTGCTGTTTAAGCCGCCCTGCCTTCAAGCTGTGTGACTGTAGACATCACTTTACCGCTGAACCTTTCTTCAGCCTGAGTAGCTGAGCAAAAATTGGTCAAGGTCTCCAAGTTCTGAGATCCAGTTTTGGCAAATGAAACAGCCTATTGCATTAAATCAAGTTTTCAGTATGAAATGTTTGAACGAAACCATAAAACTTCTGTATTATTATCATTATTGTTACCCATGAGGAAGAGACAGCACATCTCAAAGTTCAGAAATTTATGTGAAAATACACGATTTTTTTTTCAAGTTTGCTGAATCTAATAGGACCGAGAGAGAATGATTCTGCCCAGAACACAGTTGTCAGACAAGGAACACTGATCTAACATGTAAAATGACAAAGCAGTCTTCATTTCGACCCCACAGGGCTCACTAGGAAGGTTGCCCCCGATTCTCTTCCTCTCAACCTTCTCTAGGCCTTAAATACCACACCCTGCATCACAAATCCGCCCTGTATTCCACGGTAGGTCTGGAAACAATCTCAGTCTCCCCAAAATCGCTGCTGCTCCCCACACCATCATCACCCAAACTTCGTGCCCTTTGCTTTCTTCATATTCTGAGCGTAGGTGGCTACGTGGAGTGGAGATGGTTCTCCCAGAGCCACGCACAAACAACGCCTTAGGAGCTGGGACTGCGACCCATCACACTGAAGGCCGGCTACCCTTGATGAAATCTGTTCACTTTCTTCACCGTTTGGAGTCAATCCCCTAACTATTTCATTACTTGTCCTGAAGAGGGAAGTCACCAGCCCTGTTGCCCCACTATGCTTACCTTGAGCAGCTGGTATCCTGGGAAATGCTTTGCAAGGGAAACAAGCGGAGGTAGGCTCTCAGGGGCAGTGAAAGCAGTGCTCTGGGGCCTGGGGAGCTGGCTCACCTGCGGCCACGCCCTCTCCTCCCACTCCGGCCCCGCCCACAGTGCGCTCTTACTCATAACTCTTGGCAGCCTGAACAAAATTGGAAGACGTGATTCAGGCCGAACTTGCTGTTGCAGTCTGCACAGCTTCAGATGGCCTGCGACAAGCTTGGGCAGGAAGAGTCTGTCGGTGGAGCCAGCCCTGAACTAAGTGAAAGCCTGTAAGACAGAATAAAGGCAGGCCTACCTGCCGAGCCAGCAACAGAAGGTGAATGGAGGAAAGTAAGAATAGAATAGGTGGTGATAGAAAAAACTACTACGAACTCCTAACTTGACCTCCATCTTTTCCACATAGAGTGCTCGTTCTCAAAACATGCATAGCGTTGCAGACAAAACATGCAATATCAAATTGATTAGCAGAAATAGTTTGATAGAATTGCAAAGTGGCTGTGTCCCAGTAGAGGACACAGCCTTGCTCTGAAACGTTTGGGGGAAGCCTGATTTCACAAATCCAGGTCTCCTGCAGCTCCTTGACATGTGGGATATGTTCTTTTCCTATCCTGCTTTCTGGGAGGCACCCAAAAGTGAGCCAGCTGTTTTTCCGGAGCTATCACCTATGCTCCTTATTCTTAGGGTAGTTTGTCTCACCATAACCTTTTTCTTCACCATCCTCCACAATGACTACTAGAATTTGAAAGATAAGGGTCAGCCTCACTCATTCCTTGGCATCTCCAGGATTTGTCATAAGCAGTTAATGAAGGATTGTTGACTGACTGAAGGAAGGCGACTTGATAGCTTCTCCTCTCCCTTATCCTGAGTCTTGTTATAAACAGAATCAAACTCATGAATGAAAATGAGTTCAACTCTGAAAGCACCATCCCGGGCCTGAGTGTAGCATGGAAAGTAAGATCATAAAGACAGGGAAATGGCCAATGCACCTCATAAAATACCCCAATGTCTAGCTCTAGTGGGCAAATGTGGATTCGAGGGCAAAGTCATAAGTTTGCAAACTGTCTCAACCACTTATTGTTGGAGAAATCCTAAGCAAAGTGTTTAATCTCGCTAGCCCTAGATTCTTCAGTTGTAAAGTGAAATATACAACATTAACATACATGTGGAGACTTTAGTAGCGCTTTGCTTGTTTCTCAGAATAAGCGCAGTGGCCCAGAACCTGGAACGGGATATCAACAGCTAATTCACCACACTATTTGTTCAGCACTGGACTGTTCTCTCCTTGTTACTGCGATCCGAAGATCTTAAGAGATCTGAAATCTGAAATCTTAGTGTTTGGTCGGCTGCCCTTTTCATGTCTTAATTCCCTCTGCTACATTCTTGTTAGCTCTTTGCCCATCCTGGAAGGAACTAATTTCACTGGAGGAGTTCAGCAGCTCCTGGGGAGCCTGAGCACAGCCTGGCTCTGATGGTTTGAAAGCTAGAGAGGCCACATACTTAGGGATGTGCTGTGCTCCCTGTCCCCAAGGGGCTTACAAATAACACAGTAGGGAGAGAAGACACGAGTGAGTTAGAGCACCTGATGGCACACACTAACACACAGTAAGCTTGGCATGTGACTGCACACTCAAGTGTTCCCAGATGAGCACAACTCTTTCTGTTTTACAGTTGATGCTGGAGAGGCATCAAAGCAGGGGGCTTCAGAGGACCAGGAAGGTCTGGAAACAAGGAAGGAGCAGGGCATAATTAGACTGCAGAAGACAAATTAGATGGGCCTGGCAGCAAATGGCTAAACAGAGCTCTCCCGGACAAGATCACTCACTTGCTGAAGTGCTCTGGACAACGTATCTGAGTGTCCGTGTCTTCTAGTTAAAGCTGATGTTCAGGGTAACAGTGCAACAAGCACAATTACTGACTGAGGAAAAGGTGATTTCCCTTCATGAGTAGAAATGAAAATCTGGGTTTTATTTGACTGGAAAGAACTATTTTCCGTGGGATATCTTTCTCTGTGGTGGCCGTACATTTAAATATTATTATATTCCCCATTAGAAGACATGAAGCTGAGAGGTGGGGAGAGATAGAGTTCTACAAGTATCTCATATGTGTAAACTCACACATTTTCAAACTAGTCTCTAGAAAACACAACAGATCAATTAGAGGAGAGAACAGCCTAGAGAGAATTCCTGCCATTGGCATGGCAGTTCCTATTCTGTCCCATCTCTCCCATGGGTCCCTCTTGGTAGGAGCCTTTGGTTGATGAAATATGTCTCTCTTTTTGGTAGTGAGCCTAGCATGGGTCTGCACCAGATCCTCTGATCATACTGTGGTTCTTTAGCTTGGGTTTTGGGGGGACTCCTAATAATGGGGGTGCCTCTGACTCTTACCTGCTCACAGGACCTTATTTACTCCTACTGGGTTGCCTCGTCCAGCCTTGATATGAGGGTATATGCCTAGTCTTATTGCATCTTGTTATGTCGAGTTTGTTTGATATCCTTAGGAGGCCTGCTCTTTTCTGAAACGAAACAGAGGAACAGTGAATCTGGGGGAGAGGAGAAGTTAAGGGGGACTGGGGGCAGTAAAATGAGGGGAAACTGTGGCCAGGGTGTAATATATGAGAGAAGAATAAATATAATAAAGTAAATAAAAACTAAGCCCTTTTCAAGTGTGTCAGACCTGATTAAGTCTCTAGGGCATCGAGACACCAAGAAGAAGACCTAGATATGGCTCTTAAGAACACTGTAGCTTGGTTTTCAATGTCAAGTCTGACATCTATGATAATTATTATAGTGTGAAAATATACAGCCTGGAGGGAAATCCTGGAAAGGACAATGTTGTCAGTTAGAGGAATGGGAATGTTAAAAAAAATCCTATATTTTAATAGCAACATAAAACCATTTCTATGAAAACAGAAGACAGAAAGAGAGGGGAAAACTAGAGGGGTGTGGGAAGGAGAGGGGATGACGGTGAATACGGCCCCAGCACACACACTCTTGGGAGGCCGTCTTCAGGAAACCCAGCACTGTGTTTAGGGAAAGGGTAGCAGTTCTGTTCTTATTACAATGGTTAACCCTTTGCCATGCGGCCTCATGAAAATCCAACTCTTGAGTAGTTTTAGTATTCTTAGCTCTTAATAAAATTTGAACCTGTAAAGAATAAAACAAACAAACAGAACAAAAATAAAATTTGACAGTTTTCCATATACCATAGCATACTCCATAACCCTATATTGTATGATTAAGTCAGTGTGCACTGGCATATGCTTCCCGCTGTTAAAATGTGACAGGGTTCACTGTTCCTGAGAACGCTGAATGGTCTCTGGCACGGTGGCTGTGGGATTAATGAGTAGGAAATCGCCTCTTTGTGGAAGGGTATGCTGCATAGACACAACTATTTCAAACAAAGATGACTCCTACCATAAATTTGAAATCAGGTATTCCCTTAAACCTTTCCCTCAGTTGTCTTTATAGGTTCTTAAGGCCACCTCATCTTATTCATCCAACCATGTTCCATTTCTTTAAGGAAGTTCGGTGGGAAAGGATATAATTGTAGAAAAAGTTGTTTGCTCTATAACTCCCCAAACAATCCCTAATGGTGTCTGTCTCGTAAAACACGCCATCATTTTACAGACCATGTGCATCAAAACAGTGGGTGGGCTTTGGGGTGGCGGGAAGAACAATGGCGTAAAGAATGAATTATCTATTCTTAACGCGCTTGCATCAGACGGCAGTTTCCTTCAGTTCAACAAAAGTGGTCTGTGGACCAAATATTTAATAACCTTGGTGACTGTTTTGTTGGTGGTTTTTCTTGCCTATGGGTTTAAACATTACAGACATTATGACGGGATTACATACACAGCGTTCTGGCTGAGGAATGACTAGACACACCCAGCCACTCCCAGCAGCAACTCAAAGGAGCTTTGTTAGGACATGATCTCAGTGCGCTTCTCTCTCTCTCTCTCTCTCTCTCTCTCTCTCTCTCTCTCTCCTCTCTTCCTTTCCCCTATCTTTCCCCCTCCTTTTCTTTTCCTCACTCTCTCTTTTCCAAGAAAAGAATTTTCAGCCTTACGTTCTTGACACCCATAAACCATCAAGTGTTTGAACTCCACTGGTAAATATGATTCCCATTGGTTCCTATGACCTCTGCCCAGCAGGAAAGAGGAATGGTGTTAGCCTTACACTTTCCAACAGTTCACAGGAAGTTCACAAGGCTCATGCCTACTCACAGAAGACTATTATCTCTCTTTTTCATGAGAAGAAACTGAGCCAAGTAAGAAAAGGAAATAGTAATTGTCCTGAAGTTTATAACTAAGACAGAAAAATATATCTATAATACACATACACCCGCAGCTAGTTGGTTTTTATTTTTGTTTTATTTGTTACACTTTTTGAAATGGATCTCATATAATTCAGGTTGGCTGTGACATTCTATGTAACAGAGGCTGGTCTTGAACTCCTGATTATCCTGCCTTTACCTACTGGCTGCTGGGTTTACCAACATATGCCGCTCTATTTGACTAAGCTTTAGATCTCTAACTAATACATCCATACTCCATTGTGGGCAGTGATTTTTTTTTTCCTTGCTGCATGAAGTACCTGCTTCACTGTGAGAATCCAAGTTCTGTGCTATTTCTATTAACAAGTCCTAGGTTTTTCCTGGGAGAATAACTCTTACTTTGTAGCGAGTCCCAGAAAAAAATAAATGTGTGAAAATTTTCACTAAGATTCATACATAAAACATAAACTGAAAATGGATAAAACAACAGCTAACTCAGCTCCTAAGCTTGACCTCCAGCTTCTCCCATCCTGCAATGAAAGCACAGGGACGCAAGATTTGCCTCAAAAGGACCCATGGCCATCATTAAGTTTACTAAGTTCAATGCAAAAGGTGTTTCTAAGTGATGAAAGGGCCACTCCCAGTGCCCTGTGTGAGAACATATTAATAAGGACTTTTATACATACCTTTCAAGAGCTTCTTGCATAAGATTTTTTGTTATATTTGTTTTGTTTTGCTTTGCTTATTGAGACAGGGTCTCTAGATGTAGCCCTGACTGTCCTAGAACTCACTATGTAGAC